GAACCAGAGCAGAGCACAGAAGCACCATTTACCTTCCCGCTGGAGTGGTACCTATTTATCTACTTGCACTTTGGCGTGCTTTCAAACGGCTAGGTTGGCAGGAGCAGGGATCGAGCAACGGGAGCTCACCCCGTCGCAGGGATTCGAAACACCGACCTTCTGATCAGCAAGTCCTAGGCTCTGTGGTTTAACCCACAATGCCACCCATGCAGAGATTTAAATAAAGCAGGGATGAAAGGATAAATATACCTATGGCTAGTCCAATATTAATGGCAACAGCTCCCTTCATCCCTGATCACTGGCCATGCAGACTGAGTCAGATGGGAACTGGAGTCCAGCAAAATATGGAGGGCTACAGATCCCCCATTTCTGGTGTATTTAATTAGTTTTGTGCTCATGGGATTTTTAATCCATGGAGGTCAAAAGTGAGGTGACGAGGAAGATTTCCACTCTCGAAACAGTGGTTGTCAGAGCTTAGAATGTGTGAGAAGGGCCACAGTCCGATAACTATGATCAGCTGAGAGCAGCCACCTGGTAATAGACACTGTATACCAAGGGTACATAAAGGGACATTTTGGGTGAACACGCCTCAGCTTTGGAAATCTCTCCCTCCAAATCTGAGCATGAAAGAAGATTACTAGGAGCCATGTGATAACCATGTCCCATATGACCATGCAGTCCATGGAAAGACTGCCATCTTTTTGTTGTTGTTGTTTAGTCGTGTCCGACTCTTCGTGACCCCATGGACCAGAGCACGCCAGGCCCTCCTGTCTTCCACTGCCTCCCGCAGTTTGGTCAGACTCATGCTGGTAGCTTCAAGAACACTGTCCAACCATCTCGTCCTCTGTCGTCCCCTTCTCATTGTGCCCTCCATATTTCCCAACATCAGGGTCTTTTCCAGGGAGTCTACTCTTCTCATGAGGTGGCCAAAGTATTGGAGCCTCAGCTTCAGGATCTGTCCTTCCAGTGAGCACTCAGAGCTGATTTTCTTAAGAATGGAGAGGTTTGATCTTCTTGCAGTCCATGGGACTCTCAAGAGTCTCCTGCAGCACCATAATTCAAAAGCATCAATTATTCGGCGATCAGCCTTCTTTATGGTCCAGCTCTCACTTCCATACATCACTACTGGGAAAACCATAGCTTTAACTATACAGACCTTTGTTGGCAAGGTGATGTCTCTGCTTTTTAAGATGCTGTCTAGGTTTGTCATTGCTTTTCTCTCAAGAAGCTGGCGTTTTTTAATTTCGTGGCTGCTGTCACCATCTGCAGTGATCATGGAGCCCAAGAAAGTAAAATCTCTCACGGCCTTCATTTCTTCCCCTTCTATTTGCCAGGAGGTGATGGGCCCAGTGGCCATGATCTTAGTTTTCTTTAGCTTCCAGCCATGCAGTAAGCCCAGCATTACCTCTCACTGACACATTTCTACAGTAGCTGTGGTGTGTGAGTTACCACAAATCAGCCCAACGTCTCAAGCAATCCAAGGAGTCACTGGGAGGGCCAACAATATTTTAGGGTTCCAGTGAAGCCACAGAGGGTGCTGCCTGCTGTCTAAAGATGCTGGAAAGCATCTTCCTTGGATGTTGTGCAACAGCTGCTTGGAGTGCCAAAATGCCTTGGCCTCAACCGTGTTCCTTCTGGTCCTCTCTTTCCATTCTGCACATATCCCAGAAGTGGTGCAATCTCTTTTGTTTCCGGGATGCATTTTGTGGCTGGCGAAAAAGCTTATGGTTATCCTAGCAGCCAGATAACAGCGTTCCTGTGGTTTTCACACCTCTTCCCCCAGATAGTCTGATCCCATTGTCTTGCCTCATCAACTTGAAAGCCTTTGTTCTCTGTGGAACAGTCTCCCTCAAGAGGTTGTGGACTTTCCTTCCTTGGAGGTTTTTAAGCAGAGGTTTGATGGCCATCAGTCTTGGGTGCCTTAGCTGAGATTCATACAGTGCAGGGGGTTGGACTAGATGACCCTTGGGGTCCCTTCCAACTCCACAATTCTATGATTCTGACCCTGAAGTGGACTTTGGTGACTAAGAGCTTATCCATGCATCCATTTGCCCTGCCACCCACCCCCCTCCACTGGGGAAATTTGTGGTTTAGAGCTGAATCAGAACAAACAGCAATCGGGTTTTCTGCAGATTGCCGTTTGTTCTGATTTAGTGGAGGGGCAAAACTGCTCAGACCCACACCTAGAAAGCATGGCCAAGCTGAAAAACACTCAAACCCATGCTTTCTAGGCACAGGACAAGTGAAAGTGTAGACAAACCCTCAGTGGTAACAGGAAAACTCTCTACTATTGTTAAGGCCAAACTAAACAGAATGTGAGGAACTGCATTTGTTTAGCCATTTGCATATGAAGTGGAGATTCATGGTATCTGAATTCTCCCGCCCCAGCTTAAGCAGAGAGAAAGGTTAGGGTGGCTGTTTATATGTCACCAAACAGAAAACAAACACAAATGCATCACCCCCCCCCAAAAAAAAAGAAAAAACAGGACATATTTACATAAAATTTGCTTATGAAACTCTGTAGATCAGAGCTTTCCAAACTGTGTGTTGTGACATGTTAGTGTGCTGGCTGCAGTGTTGTAGGTGTGTTGTGCAAACGCTCCCCACGATCCTCTCAGGGCTGGAAAGAGGTTAATTTAACCTCTGGTTTGCTAGTAAAACTGAATTACTGTGTCCCGAAATGATGCACGTCAAAAAAAGCGTGTCACCAACATGAAAAGTTTGGAAAGCTCTGCTGTAGATAGATGAAGATTTAAGAATGATTCCTACCATTTTCAATATAAATTCTAGTGTGGAAGAATGTGGCCAGTTGACCTGTGTACCTGCACAGTCTGCTGCCCAGGTGTTCATTCCTGATGGGCAACTTCAAGGTCCTTGCTGCTTTCCCTTCTGATGGCTCTTTATCTTTACAGCAGACTTGGACCGGACAGCCCCTTAAATAGAGGACTGTCCTTTGTAAATTAGGACACGTGGCCACTCTAAGAAAAATGTCTGGACCCAGAGAGCACAAATGGGTAAAGCCAGGGATGGCTTAGCTCCCATTGCCTCTATGTCCATTTTGATGTAAAAACAATTAGACCCCACCTTTCCCTTTACAGCAGGTGAACAACGTTGGAAGTTGTCAGGTGGTGCTGGTTGCTCATGAGTAACCAGGCAGGACTCTGACCTGGCTTTTACAGGTTTTATTGTGCAAACTGTTTACAGTGCAGATCTACCAAGTTCATGTCTGTCTCAGTCACTTGCAGAATCCGGGAGTGGCCCCTTCCAGCTTCTCCCCCAACATAAGAACTCCGGCACCCCAAGCCTCCTCCTCGCCTCCTTGCATTTCATCCCTCTGCGCAAGCTGGGCTACAGAAGTGGCGTGCATCCCTCCTGGCCAGCCCGGCGAGGTGAGGTGCTGGGGCTCTCAGCAGCATCCTCAAGCCCTTTCCTCGCTTGGCTGGCCCCTTCCCCCTCTTCTCCACTGGAGGTGTGGCTTTTCCCACCGCTGGAAGAGGAACTGCTCCTCAGGAGTTTCGGAGGCTCTCTGTATCCCAACGACCCCCCTGCCTCCCTCCCCTGTTCCAATGGCAGTCCCCTGACAGAAGTCATCTCAGGGGCCTATACCAGAGAGCCCTGCCTGAAGGCAATGAAGTCTGAGGATGTTGCCATCTGGGGATGCGGCCTTCAAATTACAAATCTAACAACAATGCAGCTGACACCGTGAAGCTAAAGCTGACAGCTTTGGTTCTTCTAAGAGCAAATAAAATGGCCACACTTGGAAATAATAGAATTTAACTGGCAGCCTTGGGGGACGGACACATTGCAGAAGCCCAAACAAATGCAGCTGCTGGCCAGAGGAGGCAGGCAGCCATCTCATCATTAATATTCACGCTCTGTGCTTGCCAGTTTTTCATCTACTAGTAGTTTGCAATCCAGCACAACAGCTGTTCTAGCATGAATCTGCATTACAATGTGATAGAGATGAATGTTTAGGCACAGACGATAAATAAGGAGCTTGAACAAGGATAAACACATCGGGTTTAAATAATCTCGCTAAATATGCCTCTTTTCTTTCTTCTTTTTAAAATCTTAGTCCTGATGATTTACAGGTTTCACATGCAATCTCCTGTCACCCAAGACATGATTACACAACCAAAGATCTTCACATTTGGAGGAAATGTGTAGGTCAATTGTTTGCTGGAGTTTTTTTTTTTAAAAAAAACAACTATCGTTGTAACGGGAATCCTGGAAAAAAGTCTTCTTCTTTTTTACCAAATATTTGGTCACCCCCGGAACCACCTCCTTATATAGAAGAGGAGCAGTAGCTTCCTGTGAGCATGCATACCGTTCCTTGAACCCCATGTCTTTCACAAGCTACTACTTGCTGCTTACTGGAAGGAATTCCATCGCAGCAATGTTGAACTGTTCTCCGTTCCATCGGAACAAAATGGCAAATATCTAAATAAAATCAGCCAAGCAATAGACAACACTCAGCAGCTGCGAATTGTTAGCAGCAGAAGTGATGGAATTCACAGAAGCATTTATTTCTCCCATGATGCATCTTAGGAGAAACTATGCTGTTTGCACCAAATGTGTGGTGGAGTCACAGGTTGAGACTTATTTTGGGAAATTAGTTCTTTGGACAATGCCAAAACTAAGGGTGCTTCGCCAGGAATTCTGCCTGGGGTGAAATCTCCAGAAGGCGCCATTGACGCTCTCAGCCCACAAGCCAATCCGCAATGAGCCCAGGCTGCCCAAAATTTTAGTTTCTTGTCTCGTTAGATTCACAAAATGTTTAGGGGTATGCGTACCCCTGCATACCCCCCCCCGAAAAAAGCACTGGTTACTAATACATATAAATCAGTAACAAATCATTTTCCTTCTAATACACCCTCCCTCTCAACCTCTAGGTCAGTGGTGGCGAGCCTATGGCACAGGTGCCAGAGGGGGCACTCAGAGCCCTCCCTGTGGGCACACGTGCCATTGCCCCTTCTAGCTCCCCACAATCCTTTGATTCGATGGCTAGCCCGCCGGGCTGCACTTCTAAAGCCCGCTCATGCTGGAAGGAGCAAAATGCCGTCGGGTTTACTGGCAGTTCTGCACCAAGGTGCTTTAAGACAGTGGAATGGAACGTTCATGTTTCAGCTGCAGCCCGCAGGTGGCAGGCCAGCTACTCGCGCATGCGCAGCTCTATTCAGCGCATGTGCTGCCCCTATGAATTCTGTGCTAGGGCTCCTCCCTTCCTGGCTGCAACTGACGGCAGCGGAGCGTGGAACCACTGCGCATTTCTGGGCTTCACTCTGAGATTTCCTTTTCGCCTGCTTGGTCAGGCTGAGAAGCAAACTTTCAAGCTGAACCCACTCCCATCGCCATTGGTAAGTGCAAGATCCTCCCTGCCAGGAGACACACAGGAGACTGGTTTGGTTTCTTCATAGGATTGTGGGGAGTTGGAAGGGAACCCGAGAGTCATCTAAGTCCACCCCCCCGCCCATGCAGGGATCTCAACTACAGCATCCATGGCAGATGGCCATTCAGCTTCTGCTCTGAAATCTCCCAAAGAAGAGTTTCTTGAAGGGAAATTATCAAAACGGCCATGTTGTCTGGGAGTAATTCCCTTTTTCATGATTTCCCAAACAAGGATCATGCAAACTTTTACCTTTCAATAAAAAGTTGTTTGTATCATCGAAAGCTCTGTTATTGTGTTTTTCTTTTAAGACAAAAGATGTTAATGTATGAGTTGTTTTTTCTAAACTAAAACCTCAGTATTCAGGTTAAATTGCCATGTTGGCACTTTGCAATAAATAAGTGGGTTTTGGGTTGCAGTTTGGGCACTCGATCTCTAAAAGGTTCTCCATCACTACTCTAGGTTCTCGCCCAGGTCCAAACAAATTCTTGGCTGACCCACAAAAGTCTCACAATGAGAAGATTTCCTGGCAACAGTGGACATCACCCTAGTCTCTCACTCTAGACTTGCTTTTTATGGGCAGGCCCAAGGTGGATGGTACTTCCTCTGGCTGCCCACAGCTGTGTCCCATTCAGCTGCACTCTCCACACCAGGCTTCCTCAAACTCGGCCCTCCAGATGTTTTGAGACTACAATTCCCATCATCCCTGACCACTGATCCTGCTAGCTAGGGATCATGGGAGTTGTAGGCCAAATAAATCTAGAGGTTCAAGTTTGATGAAGCCTGCTCCACACCCAGTTCCAGGTGCAGCAGGTTTGTTGAGTTTCCCAAGGGGTCCAAATGATGAGAAAAGGGTCCCCCCTCCACTCACAGCTCAGTTTCCAAAAAAGTTTCCTCTCTCATCTTTTCTGTAACTTTTATTGATGCCTATTGGGACGCGGGTGGCGCTGTGGGCAAAAGCCTCAGCGCTTAGGACTTGCCGATCGAAAGGTCAGCGGTTCGAATCCCCGCAGCGGGGTGCACTCCCGTCGCTCGGTCCCAGCGCCTGCCAACCTAGCAGTTTGAAAGCACCCCCGGGTGCAAGTAGATAAATAGGGACTGCTTACTAGCGGGAAGGTAAACGGCGTTTCCATGTTCTGCGATGGTGCCAGTTCGCCAGAGCAGCGTCGTCACGCTGGCCACGTGACCTGGAAGTGTCTGCGGACAGCGCTGGCTCCCGGCCTCTAGAGTGAGATGAGCGCACAACCCTAGAGTCTGTCAAGACTGGCCCATACGGGCAGCGGTACCTTTACCTTTACCTTTATTGTTTTAATATTTTTAGAATGTAACACCTATTTGCTTGAAGGTTTCCTTGAAAAACAGTGCATAAATGCCTTACATACTATTTTTAAATAATCAGAGACCATTTGCTTCCCTGTACAGATCTCCTTTGGTTGTGAGGGTTAAGCTCTTTCCGCCTTTTCTTGTCTTTGTCCGTTATTGCTCTATTAACATTTGCCTAGCAGACCCCTCCCTCCATCATGCAATCCCATTTCCCAATCTGCTGGTAAAACTATCCTCAGTTTTCTGCTTTAAGTGCTTAAAATCCCCCTTAGACAAATTGACACCAATCCAAAGATCCTTTTCTGCAGCAAGCCTTGTATTTATTTGTACCTTTGCAACCATGCAAATGAATATGCCATTAGGAATAAGAAAGAGAGAGATGTCCCACCACCTGCAACTCATGCTACACTTATTGCAGCTGCAGAAATGGTGCCTGTTTGCTTCCTCACTCACTTCCTTGTACTTTTAGACCGCCCGCCATTCCAAAGAATCTCAAGGTAGCGTACAAGATATATGAAACAAACCAACGTTAAAACGTAAATCTGCCAAAAACAAAATGCCTGTAGCACTCATCAAAACCATTAAAGAAACTTCCATGGGAGTCATAAAGCAGAAGATTAATTGCCATTCCAAATGTCTGAGTGAAAAGATTATTCCAGACATGGCAATGAAACCTCATTCAAGAGGGGGACAGCCACACCTCCAATGGAAGAGTTTCGCGTTCAAGTTAGCAGGCTCAGGAAGACCTGATCCTATGTCCTGCGACAACAGGCCTCACCCACTGGCAGAACAACAAGACCCACAAGAAGGCTTGCCCTTGCAGATCTCAACATCCAGGTCAGCTAATATAGGAAGGCGCATTCAGGGAATTATATGTCAACAACCTCTTGAATAAGGTCTAGTAGCAAATAGGCAGCCAGTGCAGATTTTGAAGAACCAATGCTATGTGGTTTCCTCACAGTTTCTGTGTGCTGGGTGTTAATATATTATTTAATCCTCTTTCAACATATTCTTCAACTTTTCCATGAAGCCTTTGGCTACATCTCATCCTCAGCTGAAACTATATCTAAATATGTTTGCACCTGTTCATCTTAATCCCCTGTTACCCTCGCATTTCTTTTTCTTCCCTTCTGTTCTCTGTCGTCTAAATCACTGAGCCTCTTGGGCTTGCCAGTCGGAAGTTTGGTGGTTCAAATCTGCATGACGGGGTGAGCTGCCATTGCTCAGTCCCTGCTCCTGCCAACCTAGCAGTTCAAGAGCACACCAGTGCAAGTAGATAAATAGGTACCGCTGTGGCAGGAACGTAAACAGCATTTCCATGCGCTCTGGCTTCTGTCATGGTGTTCCGTACGCCAGAAGCAGCTTAGTCATGCTGGCCACATGACCCAGAAAGCTGTCTGTGGGGAAACGCTGGCTCTCTTGGCCTGAAAGCGAGATGAGCACCACAATCCCATAGTCGCCTTTGACTGGACGTAACCGTCCAGGGTTCTTTTACCTTTTACCTTACATTTATATTGCAAGCTCCTTGGAACAGGGACTTTTCTCATTTTTGTTGTGGTTCACACTAAAGCACCCTATCCAGCAACTGCACCATGTAAAATCACCACTGTTGTCTGGTGATAGCCTGGCTATCACTGGCTTGTGATAGCCTATGTACAAAACAGATGTATATACATTAGTTACCAAATGGCCTTTGGAACTAGGAGGACTTTAGAAGGAAGAGGACTTTAGAAGCTCAGGCTTACATTGGCCATCTGTTCTGAATTCAGCTGGTTATCAGAGGCAGAGGGAAATGCCATTGTCTCCAGTCAGGAGGATAAAGGGGGCACTGGGATAGCAGAGTTGAAGGAACTGGCAATTCACCAAGTCACTTATTCTAGAATGGATTTCTAAACTTATTCAGAGCCATACCTGTGGAACAAGCTCATGCTTGTATTCTCAGAAGTATTTAACGTATTGTGAATGGTATCGACATATGGTACAATAATCCTGCTTTTTAGGCACTGGGCATTTTTAACAGTCCTCAGGACAGAACTTTATCTCTCCATGCCTGGCTTAGCTGTATCTCTGAATAAGATGGTGAAAACATCATTTATCCCACCCCCCATCTGGTATCATGCTGCATCCCACTGCCAGCTTAACCCATGTGAAAAACAATGGCAGCCAGAAGTGCTCGCTCCAAGACAACACGATCACGCTGCGTCTGGTATAGTGTGGAAAGATAATAGGGGCAGTCAGGCCCATCAGAGTCTTCTCCATCTGTTACTATTTAAGCCCAAGGTCCCAGCTTCATTCGAGGTTGATTAGCCAAATATCTCCCCCTATTACGTTGCCTAGAGCAAAGCCTGCACAAAAATCTGATAACCTAATGATATATGCATGGGTTGATTTATTTATCATTTCCATTATGCACATGTGCACTGTCAGATATGTTTCCTATAAGGGGCTAACTACACTTCACATGAAAACTCATGTAACAGAACTCGGATGCCATTTGAAAAAGAAAAAGTCACTTCAGGGAGAGGAGACGTGGAGCACAGAAAAGGCGGGAGGTGTGTTTAAGCGTTTTCTTGCCTGGTACTTCTGTATTCCAAATGGCCTCCCCAGTTGAATTTCTCCCTTGGGACCAGTGGCGTCGCAACGGGGAGGCGGGGGGTGGTGCGCCCCGGGTTCCACATCTGGGAGGGTGATAAGGTGGCACCCCGCGGCGTGCTTGCCCTGCCGCCCTGGCCCTGGCCCGGCGGCACGAGCAACCATCACGCTGCTGCAGCTGCATGTGGAGGATTCTCCATTCGCGGCTGCAGCCAAGAGCAGAGGATCCCAGCGCTGGCGGCAAACTGCTATATACAGCGCATGTGCAGCGTCACATGCATGCGCTGTAAGTAGTGACACCACACATCCGCTGTACACAGCGGTTTGCCGCTGGCACCGCTCAAGCACTGTACGGATGGCAGTGGGATCCCTCCGTCACCGCTACATCCGCAAACGGAGGATCCTGGTGTCGTCCGTACGGCACTGGAGCTGTGGCGCAGGCAAACCACTATGTACAGAGCATGTGTAGTGTCGCTACGTACAGCACATGCGTCGTACATAGCGATGCCGCACATGCACCCTACGTGGCAATGCCCCACCCCGGGTGTCACAACGCCTTCATTTGCCCCGCTTGGGACTCAGTATGTAGGAAGGTGATTTAAAACAGAGAAGTGGCAAACAGGGAAAGGATTTAGCACACATACCCCAACCCTTCTCTGTTTCAAACATACACACACACACACAAAAACAACAGCTGTTTATCTTTTTTAAAAAATTGTGCCAATGCTCAGTTTAACACTCATTTATGTAGAATGTATGCTGAAGACACTTGGAATGGTTTGTACAAGGCAATGATTTTTCTGTGTGATGGGAGCAATTTGGAAAAGCCAAGTGGCAATGTGGTGCTTTCGCCCACTGTGGCTCCTAATACAGCTGGGATGGGTGACACTTGATCACATCAATTCATTCACCCAGCGGGCAGGCTGCTTTTCAAAATGATAATTTGAAATACTTACAAAGAACCTGTTGGAGAAGTTTTCCTGTGGTAAACACAGCAAATGTGAAACTGCTAGAAGATCCCACTGCTGTGCAGTCTCCGTCCTAGCACGTACTGTG